GCAGCCCACGGAATTGAATCGATTTGAATTTCGTGGTAGACCTTCCTCCAACCTTTCTTCGTCTTCCCAAATAGCGTGTATGTCCGAGCGACGACTGTAACGGCTCCTATCAGCTTCAAAGGAAGGCCCTTCAAAATGTCGTGAAAATAGCGCCCATCCAACGAGGCGAAAAATCGCATGTTTTTCAAAATTTCCACCGTGAAGCTATTACGAGATAAAACGGGCGCCCTTGCTGATTTTGGTTCATAGTAGGTCAGGGAACATAATTTTACCATAGAACGCCGAAATCATTCGATGCCATGGTGCGCGGGTGATGGCAAAGTAGCGTTCGCTTCCATGTCAGAACCATTATTTTAAACGAATTTTCCGGTAGTTTTTCTGCTATTTTTTTCTGTTTTTTTGCGCTTCTGAATGACTGATGTATCACAGTAAATTCCATTTTTCTGCTCAGTCACATTTAGTATTACGATACGAAGGTTATGTTAAGCTACAGCCCCGAATGACAACACTAGCTTATCTTCCAGTCTGCCATCAGGCTTTTTTGTTGGGGAGGGAGGGGGCGCATTTCGGGGCTTACATAGCTCTCGGAAGGGGAAACCCCTCTCCAACTGCGGGGTAGGCACCCGAGGCCAGTCCGGCCCTGTTTAAGGATTCAAATCAATCCCTACAGACATATATTCTGACTGAAATAGATAATAAACTGTAGCAATACCTCATGATGACAGGGTGTGTGTTGGATTGTCTACCACACCGGCGGCCCTACAATACGCACTATAAAAATTTCGCGTCTAATCCGGACGTTTAACTCACATCTGTCTCACAGTGAAATTAGCCTGTTTATGTATTTTTCCTCTTTGAGTGAAAACGTGCCTGCTTGGTTTATTGAGAACCAGGGACCTTTAATAAATGAAGATAAGAAATATCTTGCAAAAGTGGTCAATTTACAAGCAAAAAGACGAAATGGCCCACAATTGATATGACCCACAATTGATTCATTGTGCTACAGATCCTGCAGTTTTCACGATTCCGAAAAATAAATTCAGAAGTGAATTTCTCTCGTATTTAAGCAAATCATATCCAAATTTGAGCTTCCTACAATGCTGACCCACAACTGGTTCCAAAAATCAATTGTGGGCCAAAACAGACTACTTTTAAAACAGCCACAGCTTAGTAAATAAGGATGATAGACAGGGCTACTATGCTGCAAAACTTAGGCCAAGGACCATAGTTAAAGGCCGCACATGCTTTTTTGTCACCAGGTCAGAATTAAAGGCCTTAATTTGGAATTTTCAAAAATGTGACCCACAATTGATTTTTCACCTTAGCACGACGCTAACGAATCTCCGCAAAAGTCATCGTCGCCAATCGCATAGGGTCTATGCGCGATCGCAAGGGCACGCTCTAAATCGGTCCTCTGCTTCAATAGAAACGCGAAATTCGACTTTGACTTTTCGTGTTTTCGGCACTTCACGTAGCACGACGCTAAAGAATCTCCTCAAAAGTCATCGTCGCCAATCGCACTGGGACTATGCGGGATCGCGAGGGCACGCTCTTAATTGGTCCTCTGCTTCAATTGAAACGCGAAATTCGACTTTGACTTTTCGTGTTTTCGGCACTTCACGTAGCACGACGCTAAAGAATCTCCTCAACAGACATCGTCGCCAATCGCACTGGGACTATGCGGGACCGCAAGGGCACGCTCTAAATCGGTCCTCTGCTTTAATAGAAACGCGAAATACGACTTTGACTTTACGTGTTTTCGGCACTTCACGTAGCACGACGCTAACGAATCTCCGCAAAAGTCATCGTCGCCAATCGCACAGGGACTATGCGGGATCGCAAGGGCACGCTCTAAAACGGTCCTCTGCTTCAATAGGAACGCGAAATCCGACTTTGACTTTTCGTGTTTTTGGCACTTCACGTAGCACGACGCTAACGAATCTCCGCAAAAGTCATCGTCGCCAATCGCACAGGGACTATGCGGGATCGCAAGGGCACGCTCTAAATCGGTCCTCTGCTTCAATAGGAACGCGAAATTTGACTTTGACTTTTCGTGTTTTCGGCACTTCACGTAGCACGACGCTAAAGAAGCTCCTCAAAAGTCATCGTCGCCAATCGCACTGGGACTATGCGGGATCGCAAGGGCACGCTCTAAATCGGTCCTCTGCTTCAATAGGAACGCGAAATTCGACTTTGACTTTTCGTGTTTTAGGCACTTCACGTAGCACGACGCTAAAGAAGCTCCTCAAAAGTCATCGTCGCCAATCGCACTGGGACTATGCGGGATCGCAAGGGCACGCTCTAAATCGGTCCTCTGCTTCAATTGGACGAGAAATTCGACTTTGACTTTTCGTGTTTTCGGCACTTCACGTAGCACGACGCTAAAGAATCTCCTCAAAAGTCATCGTCGCCAATCGCACTGGGACTATGCGGGATCGCAAGGGCACGCTTGAAATCGGTCCTCTGCTTCAATAGAAACGCGAAATTCGACTTTGACTTTCCGTGTTGTCGGCACTTCACGTAGCACGACGCTAAAGAATCTCCTCAAAAGACATCGTCGCCAATCGCACTGGGGCTATGCGGGATCGCAAGGGCACGCTCTAAATCGCCCTCTGCTTCAATAGGAACGCGGAATTCGACTTTGACTTTTCGTGTTTTCGGCACTTCACGTAGCACGACGCTAAAGAATCTCCTCAAAAGTCATCGTCGCCAATCGCACTGGGACTATGCGGGATCGCAAGGGCACGCTCTAAATCGGTCCTCTGCTTCAATAGGAACGCGAAATTCGACTTTGACTTTTCGTGTTTTTGGCACTTCACGTAGCACGACGTAATAGTTGCTTAAATATAGTGTCAAAAGCAGTTAAATAGACCCCCCCCAAAAAGCAGTACATTTTCTTAGAAAATTTGTCTCTCATCACCACGTCGGACTCCACCAATCAATGAGCTTCAGTTGGCGACTGCCAAACAATGCATTTTGTCGCATTTGGTTATTAAAATTAAAAACCTTATTGCCGTGTAATTCCAAAACTCTTGTAATGCTGACCTTTACCTCTCTCACATCTTCCATGGTGTTAAGATAGACAATTGAATAGTATTTCAATGCACAGTGCCTCAGCGGAACCAATATAGGTCCCATTTGGACAATTTTGGGGGGAAAAGCTTCGATAACCTTCGATAACTTTTAGAGTTTTTTGACAATATTTCTGGTGTTTATGGATTGCCGTCCCTAATTTTTTAGTGACAGTTAGAGTACCTCATTGGGGTCCTTTGATGCCAATATGGTTCAAAAGTGAGACGGCGTATTTTGGGAATTCAAGAAACCGTGGTTTTTTTAATCGTATACTGTGTTTCTGGTAAGGGCTGGGGGTCCCAATATTTTTTTTCACTATTTTATGTTGCCCTTTACTGTTTTCAACCCATTTGAGCATCTAGATACACAATTTAAAAAAAAAACTAAAAAAAAATAATTTTTTTTTTTTTGAAGTTTCAAAAAATTACTGTGGCCAAAGTTCTGAATTTTTTTTTTTCAAAAAAATTTATGAGAGTGGTCTTTGGGTGGTACACTACCAGATAAAAAATTGGGGGCCGGATCTGAGCAAGTACGTTTTGGACCATGATGGTTTGACGTGGAACGCACCCACGGAAAAAGTACGGAACATGTCAGGTCAATAATTTGCCTGGACCGTCCGTACTTGCCAACTACGGAACGTTCCGTACTTTTTTTCCGTGCCCATTTACATGGGTTCATATGGAGGAAGTACGGAACGTTCCGTACTTTTCTCCGTACCTCCGTACTATATTTTTCTGTGCCATTTTCGTACAAAAGTACGGAATTTTTTACAGTGTAAGTACACAGTGAATTTTGTAGTGCAGTGGCGGCGAGGAAACTTGCCACTTGATTTGCAGTTTTCTTGCGAACACGACGTGTCATTCGATGAATAACAGTGGGCTGGCGCCGGTGACGTCAGCATGGTCGGTTCGCCGGTTGTGGCCGTGACCTCCGCGCCACGTGAGGAGAGGCGCTCAGTCTTCGGACGCAACCGCCGCCTGTGTTCGCGGCGCGCGCGGCGCGGGGACCTTGAGAGCAGCTGATGGCAACGCGGCGACCTGTCGGTCGGCTGCGGTCTATTCCCCACTACGGTTACACTTCGTAAATCAAAGGCTAAATTACGCACCTTCGGGCACAAAGTCTTTCACGCCATTCAAGGGCGTAGATCGTTTAGTGTCCTTGGAATGCCGTAACCATTTCGCGCCCTTCACTAGGGCATTAACCGACACTGACATTCCGAACGCTATGAATACCCGCACCACGAATGGTGCAATGCACTGTGATATCGCACCATGCGTGCTATGCCATGCCGTAGCCATGTTGCACCTTAAGTGCAATGCGTCCCGAATATGCCCTTCGCTAATGCATGGGAATAGGAAACATTGCGGGTTGCCTACTTTCAGGGGCCGCTGGACACGGACAAGGACTGCAAGGGCTTAAAAAAATTATTTATGAGCTTCTTTTTTATCTTAAACGTTTGATAGCACCCGACGCTGGGCAAAACACCCTTTGCCCCCCCCCCCTCCAGCCGTGTATCCGCGCCTGTTTGGCGACTTTGTAGCTCCAAACACGTCTAGAGCAAGGGGTTGACCTCTCAGCTCAGGAGTGTACACAGGATAACTGATTACCAGTGATTACCTACAAACATACTTAAAAAAAACTCCATAATTTTGGCCAGCTAAGAGCATTTTGGCCTAATTTCATAAGAAAAACCCCCAAAATCCGATAAAGACGGCGAAACTAGCCAGTTTTGGTTTGTGATTATCAATGATTACTGGACGAAGTGTACACACGACACGATTACCAGAGTGGGTAACCCCTTGGTATGGAGTTTAGGCCGCCTCCACCGGTCTTCTGGCCCACTTTGCGCTCGGTACTGTCCTCTTCAATTCCCCCCCCCTCTTTGGGAGCCGCGCTACGTTGCCGGCATCTTCCTCGTTGCTCGTCGCGGTCCAAACAGATCCGAGCCGGTCGGCACTCACGAGTCTGCTCGAGGTGCGAAGAGGAGGCCCGGCACGTCCAGCGAAGCAACCGGCCGGCGCGATCCGACACTCCGCGAACAGAAGGCCGTCCAGTGAGTACATCCGGAGGTCTGCACACTAGATGTTTAGGTACAAGTCTGTACCAGTAACTTGCACGATTTAGTGCACACAACAAACCTAACTGTCTACGTAGTGCGCTTACAAATGCATGGTTGGCAAACACAGACTTTCAAATGCCTATGCTCAGCATGGAGTTATACGGCGCCAAGCATGCGTTTATGTGTACTTGCCAACCATGAAGTTGTAAATGTGCACTAGGTAGACAGTTAGGTTTGAAGTGTGCCTACGTGGAATTTGCATAATATTACGAGTAACATTGCCTAAATTTATGCAAGTTAAGGGTACAATTTTATGGAAAACATTACACAGGTTTTAAATCATGCAACGCCACGTACAAAATTGTACATACGGCCAAAAAGGAAATTAATAGATTATTTGTTATTTAATTTTTTCATGATGATTGGTCTGGGGTATCTCCATAAGTTCAGGACGTAGAAGCGATTCCGGAATTGTTTTCGCTGAAAACAGGGATGAACACTGGATGCAACCTTATGCGACTTGGAACCATAAGTCAAAATATCAGAAACATTCATAGCAGTTTTCTTATTGAGCGCTGTACGAAACCTTGTGGAATCTGTTCAAAATAGCATTTGGATCACAATTCGTCTGTCCGCTGATTCCCGTCGTATCCAGTTAGTGTCGGAACGACGGCTTGCCACGAAGCTCAAAATCCACTCTCAGAGCCTTATTGACTTTTTGTTCATAGCTGCAGCAACATTTCCTTCGCAGCATACGAAGTTTTAACGCAACAATAATAAGGGAGGGTGGTGAACCATGACCACTTTTTTTGTGCCTCCCTCTACTTCACCGTGTGGTTCGAAAAAATAAGTGCTATAGCACGAGGGGATTCTTTGGACCTCCAAGGACCTCTTCCACCCATTGGAACTTGTCTGCAATGCACGGCAGGCTCACACTGAAAACGTAATGGTCGGACACATGGCCAAATTATGGCGTGACAAAAAGTCACGTTAAAAATTGGCGTGACACGAAATTCACGCCGAAAAACGGCGTGACATGTGAGTCACGCCCTCATTTGGCGTGATTGACAACGCGTTTTCTGAGGCAAGTCACGCCAAAAAGCGGCATGACAAGAAATTCACGCCAAAAATTGGCGTGAATTTTTGAGTCACGCCGATTTTTGGCGTGACTTTTGTGTCATGCCGTTTAATGGCCTGACACTTTCTTCACGCCCCTGCAGCGGCACGAAGTCACGCCGGTAGATTTTCAGTGCACCGAACACTTTGAAAAATAAAACGCAAAGTGGTCATGCTCTGCAAACTGAAATGTGTGCATGGCACGCTCTATTTGGAGCATGCCAAGAGGCACGCTCTATTTTAAAGCGTGCTTAGCTAGCCCACTATAAACTACAGCATGGACGGCAACCACACTCCTGATGCTCGTAATGGCTTTTATTTTTTAATTATTTAAGAAATATGTACTTTTGCAAGGTTTCCATTTTATACTTTAAAGAAGCAACATTTTAAGTCTTGTTAGTGCTGAGATGTATTTTACGTCAACAAAGCTTCTCCGCTATTTTCACAACTATTGATGTATGAAACGGCACTGGTACAACGAGTTAGACCTGGGAGGTTTCTTTCAATAACCATGGAGGAAACAATCAAAACATTACTCATCCAGAAATACACATACAGTGTATGATCGGCATGACACTAGTTACTCACTCTTTTGACTGCCCAACAATCCATAGCAAAGTAACCTAGCCCTGTTGCTGGGTGGTGAAGGTGGAGGCTGCAGACGCACGGAAGGAACACAGACTCGAGGTAAACTAGCTCCATACGTTTATCTAGCTCTTCTAGTCTCATCGTTTTCAATAACTGCGTCCCATAACACGTCACCACAAATCGCCAGCACAACGAAAATAAACTTCACATTTCAGGCGTCATAGCTGCCATTTTGAATTTGAAACACAACACAACGCGCTTGCGTAGTCAGCACTTTTTCATACGCACTCTTATGAGAAATTGCTGCAACACGTATGCGCCGGTGGGCTCGCAAACTGAACTCTCACCTTCGTTCTTTTTATAAAGAAACATTCCAGACACAGATAAACGAAGCACAATAAAATTCGATTATGATTTTTGCCACTCAATACCTTTAAATTGACAAATCCACTGCCATCGTTTTTGAAATCATGTGTAGGTTGGCACCTCGGAAAAACAAGTGCCACCCAAGCAGACGACAAAATTAAAAATGGCAACCTTGACGCAAATTGTGAAGTTTGGTTTCGTCCCAACGAACAGAAATTTGTCATCCAGACGTCAAATGATATCAAAGAATGGTCAAAATCCTGTTTGTCAGAATGACATCATTGTCGACGGTCAAAGTTAGGGAATTTTGACGTCAAGTTGATGTCAAATGATGTCACGAATCCATTAAATGTATAAAGGATACGACTCTACTCATCGGCTGATATCCCCCTTTTTAGTTGTCCCGCCTATGTGTGGTAGTAGTGTCTCCCTCCGTTTAATGTCGAAAGTCGCTCCGGGGCCGGTCGGACTCGAACCCACGTCTTCGGCTTCGGAGGCGAGCTCTTTACCACTGCGCCACGAAGACATCTAAAGATCGACTGCTCACCGCTGCCCTAAGACCAGCGGTCGGGAATCTGCCCGGCAGTTGACTCGAAAGTGACGGCAATTCTTTGGGATGAAAAAATGCCTGGTATTTTCCACTTCATCACCCGAACGCGATAGACTTTCCAGAATACCAGAGAAGTCTGAATTTTTCACCGCAATTGCTGATTTAAATGCGTTCATGGATGACATCAAACGGACGTCATCGTGACCAAGTGTACTCCAAGATCTTAACTTCACAGGTTATCGCCAGTTTACCTCTTTTCCAAATGGCGTAAGACTTTTTGAAAGGAATAATGCAATTCAAGTTAGTTTTGCTCGTAGTTTGTAATGAGTCAAATTGACATCATCCTGATGTCACTTTTCAAGAGAGTGACTAAATTTTGTCATTTTTCAGTCACTTGATGTCAATGTGACTATTTTCTGTTCCTTGGGACGTTGTGCTGACGATTTGTGGTGGCGTTGTGTTATGGCACGCAGTTATTGAAAACGATGAGACTGGATGAGCTAGATAAACGTATGGAGCTAGTTTACCTCGAGTCTGTGTTCCTTCCGTGCGTCTGCAGCCTCGCCCTTCACCACCCAGCAACAGGGCTAGGTTACTTTGCTATGGATTATTGGGCAGTCAAAAGAGTGAGTAACTAGTGTCATGTCGAACATACACTGTATGTGTATTTCTGGATGAGAAATGTTTTAATTGTTTCCTCCATGGTTATTGAAAGAAACCTCCCAGGTGTAACTCGTTGCACCAGTGCCATTTTATACATTAATAGTTGTGAAAATAGCGGAGAAGCTTTGTTGACGTAAAACACATCTCAGCACTAACAAGACTTGAAATGTTACTTCTTTAAAGTATAAAATGGAAACCTTGCATTAGTATATATTTCTTAAATAATTAAAAAATTAAAGCCGTTACGAGCATTCAGGAGTGTGGTTGCCATCCATGCTGTAGTTTATAGTGAGCTTGCTAAGCACGCTTTAAAATAGAGCGTGCCTGGCAGGCACGCTTTAATTTAGAGCGTGCCAAGAAGCACGCTTTTTTAAAGCGTGCCTGCAAGCACGCTCCAATTTAAAGCGTGCTTCTTGGCATGCTCCAAATAGAGCGTGCCATGCACACATTTCAGTTTGCAGAGTGGCGCCCCACATATGGGGTACCATGACCACCTCGTGGGGCACCATGACCATAGTAATTTTTTGGCCCAAGAAGTGTACTTTCTTCCTGTATTCGTATTCTCATTGAAATAGTTTATATCGCTGTCATTACCATCAGGCCAGTCAACTTAACTAAAAAACACTCTAAAAACCTTCGAAGTTTCAAACGTTCTGAGATGCCTTAAAATGGACGGTTTAAAACAGTTAAGGTAAAAAATCAATTGTGGGTCACATTTTTGAAAATTCCAAATTAAGGCCTTTCATTCTGACCTGGTGACAAAAGTGCATGTGCGGCCTTTAACTATGGTCCTTGGCCTAAGTTTTGCAGCATAGTAGCCCTGTCTATCATCCTTATTTACTAAGCTGTGGCTGTTTTAAAAGTAGTCTGTTTTGGCCCACAATTGATTTTTGGAACCAGTTGTGGGTCAGCATTGTAGGAAGCTCAAATTTGGATATGATTTGCTTAAATACGAGAGAAATTCACTTCTGAATTCATTTTTCGGAATCGTGAAAACTGCAGGATCTGTAGCACAATGAATCAATTGTGGGTCATATCAAGTGGGCCATTTCGTCTTTTTGCTTGTAAATTGACCACTTTTGCAAGATATTTTCTTATCTTCATTTATTAAAGGTCCCTGGTTCTCAATAAACCAAGCAGACACGTTTTTCACTCAAAAAGGAAAAATACATGAACAGGCTAATTTCACTGTGAGACAGATGTGAGTTAAACGTCCTGGATTAGACACGAAACATTTATAGTGCGTATTGTAGGGCCGCCGGGGTGGTAGACAATCCAACACCACACCCTGTCATCATGAGGTATTGCTACAGTTTATTATCTATTTCAATCAGAATATATAGTCTGTAGGGATTGATTTGACTCCTTATAACAGGGCCGGACTGGCCTCGGGTGCCTAGCCCGCAGTTGGAGAGCGGTTCCCTTCCGGGAGCTATGTAAGCCCCGAAATGCGCCCCCCCCTCCCCAACAAAAAAGCCTGATGGCAGACTGGAAGTATAAGCTAGTGTTGTCATTCGGGGCTGTAGCTTAACATAACCTTCGTATCGTAATACTAAATGTGACAGAGCAGAAAAATGGAATTTACTGGGATACATCAGTCATTCAGAAGCGCAGAAAACAAAAAAAAAATAGCAGAAAAACTACCGGAAAATTCGGTTAAAATATTGGTTCTGACATGGAAGCGAACGCTACTTTGCCATCACCCGCGCAC